AGACAGGGTTTGTTTTGGTGTAATGAAAAATCTATTATAGTTTCTCAAAATAGCAACGCGCCAGCGGTCCGCCTCAGAACACTTCCTTTTTAGACCAGAAGCCCTGTGGCCGCACAAATGAGCGCTAATGCATTTGCTATTTAAACAGCGTAGCGCAACGCCTCAAAACCACTCTTGCGCCAAGCTGAAACTACCAAAAGACTACTGCGCCACGCCTTGCGCCACACTGCGCCGGGTGTATGATAGGGCCCAATGTCAGCATAGACTAAGAGCATGGTTTCCGCTACATTCATTCTCCCATGGCGGGGCGCCACGCCAAAATTCATCCCGCCACGGCTACATTACAGCTTCTCACACAAAACATTTTATTTTTAATAGCGGGTAATAAATAAACGTATTAAAGGTTAGGTGAATTATAACAGCGCAAACTTTTCTGTAACCATAGTAAAGCTGTGCGTCATTTGTTTACCCTTTAAGGTGACGTGCTGACTGACTGACTGACTGGCTGGCTGATGTGTGAGGCCAGCAAACATGAAGTATAGCTGTTTCACTTCAGGACGAATTAACCCTACTCAGTTTGTCTATTGGAGACATTCATAAATATTCCTAGCAAATCTAATAAATGCTGGAGACATTCTCCTTACATAAACGCACTAAATCTCACTCAGCAGCGTGAGATCTGCGCGCTCTTGAAGTGGCTTATATTTGAGGGGCGGGCTAGAAGTTTTGTGCACGAGCAGAGGAAATCGGTGCGCAAGCACAAAGGTAGCTCACAGGCTATTACATAAATGCGATCCCGACTTCTAATACTGCGCTCACGACATTTTTCATTGAAATAACTCCACAGGTAGTTGATAGATCTGTGTAAAAAAAAAAAAAAGGCCTGCCACTACAGCTGGTAAAAATCCTAGAGGAAACACTGAAGGGGATTATAGATGTGGATTTTAAGATGAAGCACAAATGAACAGCGACAGGAGAGACATAGACTGACAGAAGCATGAAGCACACACGCACACCTGACCAGCACTGACAACACTAGTACTGTTTTCAATCTGCCACTATGCTGACACACAGAGGTTTGTAGCTCCGCCCTCTTGAAAACAGCATGATCTCATTTAAATTTAAAGTGACAGTCACCAAAACACCACAATCAGAATCAAAGCCTGAAAGGGTCATTTTCAGAGCGTTATAAACGTTATTTGAGTTATTTAAAGCTGAAACTTCATCTACACACTCTAGGGACATCAGAGACTTATTTTATGTCTTGTAAAAAGCGGCATAATAGATCTTCTTTAACATTAATGTTATTCTTCCACCACTTATTCCAAACCTGTTTATGTTTTTCAATTTATTTCAAGTTTATTTGTATAGCTCTTTTCACAATAACTACTGTTATTCCAAACTAGCTTCACCAAAGGTGAACGTTATTACATTATGACATAAAAACCATAAGGTGTCATTTACAATAGGTGATGTCTATGTATGTAATATATTTTCAATAAAGTGATCCGATCGTTACAATAATAAAGAACACTTTGTGTATTGTATATTGTTCCTTCCTCCTCAGTCATATTTATTAAGGCATCTTTAGCATAATATATTTGTTATTCATTCAGTACAAAAGCATTTTAGCGACGAATCAAGCGTGAGGAACATCGTTTATTAACGTAAGTGACTAGCGTAAGATACTTTACCTGAGAATAACGTTCATTCAAGCACAAAGCGACACAATGAGGTTTAAAAGTAAAACAAGACAGATAATAATCCTGAAACTCACCAACACCCAGTCTGGAGCCTTCTGATAGAACACACTGGAGAACAGAAGGCGCTGCGCTAAAAGCGTGAACGTGCAGCGGCGGCTGCGCTCAACGCCATTTAACTGACGCACTGTGCTTCGTGAATTTGCGGAAAGAGCTGCGTTGAGTTTTCTTTAATGAGGCTCGGGTGAGATTTGACGAAGATAAAGGTTCCGCCTAATCATTCAGTGGAAACAGACAGACAACATATTCCTGTATTAATCTTTAAGAAATACGAGTATATAGAATTGTATATTTAGACACGTCGTATTTTTCATTCTAAGAGTCTTTACAAGTAGCCTATCATTCAATGTATTGTGTTGTGGTGCAAGAAAGGATGAATGGACTATTTTTATTAATACTTTTTTTAAGACATGCAATATTTCATGCATTCATTCATTTTCTTTTCGGCTCAGTCCCTTTATTTATCTGGGGTCGCCACAGCGGAATGAACCGCCAACTTATCCAGCATGTGTTTTACACAGCGGAGACCCTTCCAGCTGCAACCCATCACTGGGAAACTCATCCACACCCATACACTGCTAATGTATACTACATATTTTTTTATTTTGTAAATAATAATAATAAAACATATTACTGACTGTTTAACTGTTCATTTACAATGAAACAGCTCAGGGCCAGAGTGGGACTCCTTTTCAGCTCTTGAGTTTCAAGCATTAGACCGGCCCACCTCAGTTCACGACTGACTATATTAAAATAAGGTCATTTCCAATTCAGTTTCTAATTACACTATCACGTCTTTTTCAAGAAAACAGCTGCTTTAGAACTTCAAATGTTCAACAACCCTAACATTATTATATGTCTTAACAATAAAAAAGAAAGAAAAAACTAAAGAATTACTCAAGTGAGGATCGAACACTTTGTAACGCAGCGTGCTGACCACTGGACCACAATCGCGCTGTTAACTAATGTGGCCATAATGATAGTTACATCATCATTATCCTGCAGGCTGCATTTTGCTCATGGGGATGCGAGACAATAAATAAGAAGAGCAGAGCTGCGGCAAAATAATGGATTAAAGAGTGAGGCTATGGTCAAATAAATAAATAAATGAAAAAAAGTGTGACTGCTGAGAGTGCAAGCAGCTAGAAACACCAGCCCTCGCAGCCAAAAAAACGGACTGGCCCACTGGGAGCTCTCCCGGTCCTCCCAATTGGCCAATCCGGGCCTGAAACTGCTCCAGACAAATATATTTATTATTTTTTGGGGATTTTTTTAATTTGGGGGGGGGTTATCCTTTATTATGGTGGGCATATCCCTTATTTTTACATCCCAATGTTGACAGATATGTAGCTTAACATAAATCATTAGACTATTATTAGCATCTCCCTTTAAAATGAACAAATATGTTTCCTAAATTCAACCCCCCCCCCCAAAAAAAATTGTCATCACTTACACAACTTTACTCTTTCCACACCAGTTTGTCTTCTTTTTTCTTCTATTGAACACAAATGAATACTTAAAGAAAGCTGGAAACCTAAAGCCATTGATTTCCATAGTATTTGTTTTTCCTTCTGTGGAAGTCAATAGTTACAGGTAACTTCTTCATTCTTTCCTTTATTCGGCTTAGTCCCTTTATTAATCTGGGGTCGCCACAGCGGAATGAACCACCAACTTATCCAGCAAATGTTTTACGAAGTGGATGTGTTTGGACTTGCGGGGGAAACCGGAGCACCTGGAGGAAACCCACGGCAACACGAGGAGAACATGCAAACTCCACACAGAAATGCCAACTGACCCAGCCCGGGCTCAAACCAGCGACCTTCTTACTGCGCCACCGTGACGTAATGTTAAATTGCTAATAAATCAAAGAAACATTGGCTTTTGTTGTATTATTGGCTTTTGAAATTTGGGTTAGGTGGGTAATAGTACACCACCTGTTTTAGGACTACACTACTCATGGACTGGCTTAAAATGCACTGAAATTTCATTGGACTTTATGCTAAACACATTTCATTGTAGGCTTTTGCATCTTGTATATATCTTTTGTTCTACCTCAGAACTGTTTACTCCAACTTACCCGACTTCTCGTCCCCTATTTTTGCACTGTTTGTCATCTACAGTTATTTCTCATGTAACTTGCTGTTTAGTGTGATTTGCATTGTAGGGATATATTTACATAAGTGAGATGGCACTTAACCTCATCGCATGTATATGTAAGTAATGTACACTGTATATGTGTACAGTAAAAATAAACGGCATTCAATTCTATTTTAATCTATTAAGAGATAAGAGTGTTATATTTTAAAAGCTGAATAAAGAAATATGAAATGTTGGTAAAAATGTGTTCAGTATAATACAGTAAAATGATCACATCAGACCATCCATCACAATATATTATGTGCGGCTGATTAATAAAGGGACTAAGCCGAAAAGAAAAAGAATGAATGAATGAATGAATGAATGAATGAATGAATGAATGAATGAATGAATGAATGAATGAATGAATGTCTTTTTGTCCTCCATATTTCAGACATGGGACATGTTGTTTTTGAAGCTGTACGTTGTGTTCTGTTTTTTCCGCTCTTGTGTAACGCCAGATGGAGCTGTGTTTGTCAGAGAAAGGGAGAGAAAGAGGGTGTTTGCGTCATGACGTCAAGGGAAAGCGGTGCTGATATAAAGCCAAGCAGCGGCGTGACGCGTCCTTCTCCCTGCCTGTCCCCACCAGCGGAAGGCAGCGTGCTCTCTGTTCCTATCAGTGCTGAGCGAATCCAAGAACATCTGTCAAAATGGTGCGTATCACACATTTCATCTGCGTTAATACTGTCGCTCCGAGTGAAGATTGAGCGTTAAGATCCGTTATTCTAACGATTAACCGGATTTTCGGCCAGATGTGTGCGGAAAAAGACCGGCTAGCTGTTTCCCTCAAAACAAAATGGCAGCCGGTGTTTAGCAGCGCGACTCATTTTTATTTATTTTCACTTCAAATAATGTCGCTGTATCAATCTCAAGCATGAGTTATGTATACTATATTTCGAGAAATAAAACAACCGATATATAATCCCCTTCTTTTGAGGGGTTATTTCTTTCTTCCCGGTTCCCGGGCCTTGTTAGCATGTTAGCTCGCCGTGCCACGTATTGTGAAAAGCATCGCGTGCTTGTGGAAAATCTGTTTAATATTTTCTAATGTTTCGATTTTTAACCAAGTATAGTGATAATCGAGTTGTAGTACTTATGTACGTGTTTCCCGTCTCTTTATGAGAGTCTGTGTGTGCTTTTTCTCGGTTTACCGGCTGGTTTAGCAGGTGTCGGGCGTGTTCGAATAGCTGTCACGTGTTCATGCGTTCCCGGTCCCGCGTGTGCGGTTCATCAGCGGGGCCACATCACGCACATGGCCGTCTTTTGTTTGCATAACTGCTTCCGGTAGGCGGTGTAAAGGGCGCAACTAGTGATGAATATTTAAGCATGTGGTTTCATTCAGGGCTTTAACTTGGTAAGTTAGTCTTTCCGTTGTCATGCGACTAAAAAAACGAACACGTCACTGACGCATTTATTGCCAGATTGTGCTTTGGACCGTCGCCTTCATCAGCACGTGACGTGGAAACTGTGCGTGAAACATCTGAATGTCAGTTTACACGTTTGGAAAGGCTGACTTCTGTATTCAGTTTATGAAAATGTACACTTACACCAACTTATCCAACACTTATCCTTTGTTTTCAAGCACTCCAGTTTCTCTCACAGGTGGAAGTTTGAGTGTTTATTTTCCAAACCTGAAATTACCCAAAATGCGTTTACCATCTATTAGGTGTAAGGATAATGTGTGACAGGTTTTCTTCATTAAAGTGTTTATTTTCGGTTTTCCAGTCAATTAAGAATGGCTTTTTTAATCCCTCTTAACAACATTACTGAAAAATAGTTTATATAGTATCTATGCCATCTTATCAGACACTTTTTATTTGGAGAAACTTTAAATGAATTTTTTTTAATGTGAATCCTTTTAAAAATGTAGAATTTATCAAAAGGAAACCTTAAACTGTTTTAGATCTTCATCTTATCTATTATTTATGCATTTTACCTTGTATATTTATTGCTGTTGGTTACTTTTAATTGTTAGAATATTTTTATAGTTTTAGAAAAGTGGCATTTATCAAATTTGGTAAACTTGAATCTGCTTTTTTCCCCATAACATAGCCATAGAAGCTGAAATGGCAATAAAATTAAAACTGTGCTATCTTTTGTTTTTGTTGACATGCAATAAATGCAAATAAAATCAACATTGTATGTATAATTTTAAGATGTCTAAGATCTTATAAGTTACTTAATATGAACTTAACATGTAATGATTTTCACATATCTAGTTTTGGCTAGTTTCAAAAACATACCTGTACAACTTAAGACCAAGGTCACGTGTGCAATTATTAAACGTGAAAATAGCATGGATTTTTGTTTTTTTTAGAAGCTCGTTCACTTATTTTTCATTAGTAACTGAGTACAATAGTATGATTAAGTTGATAAAGTACCATCACTATCAGTTTATTTGTTTTTGCTGACGTGGCATTAAATAAAAATCATCTTTTATTTGTATATTATAAGATGTCTATCTAATAATTCTCTCAATTCTGTCCGAAAGGTCTTCATATTAAGTTTTAAATATATCAATGACAGCAAATGCATACTAAATCTGATGCCTATCTTTAGCCTACAGTATTGTTTTGTAAGTGTTGTGCAGAGAATTAATATAATTTAATTAATGAAGCATTTTCAATTTGTTATTGATCTGAAAGTTTTGTCAAATCTAATTATTTTCAGTATGCTAGATAATGATCAAATGTGTCACTGCCGTCTGCTCTTCCAGGTGAACTTCACAGTCGACCAGATCCGTGCCATCATGGACAAGAAGTCCAACATCCGTAACATGTCTGTGATTGCGCACGTGGATCACGGGAAATCTACACTGACCGACTCTCTGGTGTCCAAGGCTGGAATCATTGCTTCCGCCCGCGCCGGAGAGACCCGCTTCACTGACACACGCAAAGACGAGCAGGAGCGCTGCATTACCATCAAATCCACGTAAGACTACTGAGAATAGGACTTTTTGTAATGTAAATTCCAGCACTGCTTGTA